AGATTAAACAGTATGGAAACCAGAACTGAATCCATCGTGGTCCAGGCTGGATGGTCGTTAATATTCATGGAAGTATTTCTGATTAGGCCTCGGTTTCAAAGAGGACTCTGGAAATGAACCTGATTAGACATGCCGAATCAAACCCCCATTATAAATCCAATTTCATTTGACTAAGAGTCACAATGCAACAAAATCACATTCAGAAGAGGTTGGAAGTCTAAACAGCAGAAATCCAGGAGAGGAGCATTAGCAGCAGCTCTTTAATCAAAGGAGTGTGATGGGAAATGATCAATTTCAGCTGAGTGTGAGGTTTCTTTGCCCCGACATGGTTTGAGGGAACGTATGGAGCCGGTCTACCAGGAATTCAGAGGTGAACGAGGTGGTGATGAAGTGCCTTTAAGTGTCCTCTCCATCACCTCTGCTGTCACTGCTGTCTATCAGCTGCAGCGTGATGGCTTCATGCTGTCTGCCCTGTTAAGTGTCTGTAAAGTGTCCACAGGTTTTGATTGTCGCTACAGTTTTTGAGGAAGTTAAAGCCAAAATGTCTCTGAAGCCCTTCAGAGCAGAGATGCAGTGCCGAACAGCTCCCTCATTACACTCTTTTTATTCTTTCTGTGTGTTGATTATGATGATAATGAAGTGAAAGAGTGTTTTTCTCCTGGGAGCAGAAACAATGACCCCAAAAAAAGAGATAAAAAAAACTGGTGCAAAGAAGCGAAAAGAAGTTCAATCACAAACAAGCTGAGATGGATCTGAAAAAAACATCAAGATAACCCAAATACAGATGGTAGAAATTAGCCGAAGCGCAGAGGCAGAAACATCCAGTGCTTTTTATAGAGATACGGAGCTAACCTGGTGGTGATGCTCCTGCGCAAGACTCAATTTGCTGTTTATGAAAAGAAAGGTTTCCCTTCACAGTAACACAGTGTCTCTGGTGAATCAGACCAATACTGCAGTTTATTAATCCGAGCTGCTTTATGGCAATATGGATTTTAATAAAGGTTTTGCTTTGATTGATCAGGTATTTAACTGGATGGATTTACCAAAAACTGACACTCCTGTTATTCATAAACAGCTTCTCCATCAATTTCATAGGAAATGTTTGACATATCACGTACAAATGTGCAGTACTTGTACTTAAATATTTAAATTTTATGTTACTTCAAACTTCTACTCCACTACTTTGATTCACAAAAATGACCCTTGTTACTCCACATTTCTTTGACTGCTGTTTTTTGTTCTTTTTTATACACAACATATACGATCACATTAGAAATATTATAAAATGTTATACATTAAACCAGTGGTTCCCAACTGGTGTGTCGCAGGCCCATTCTGAATGGACCACAAGTGATTCGCAAACATGTCAAGTTTGTAAAAAAAAATAAGGGTTTTATTTTTAAGTACAGTGAATTTCCAGCACCGAGCTTTTATTGTGAAGTGCTGTTTCCTGTAGTGGAGTGAATAGCCCCTTTTACACTGCCAGACTTTACGCGAATGTTGGGCCATTTTCCCGGCAAGCTGCGAGCGTTTAGACACACAGAGCCGGATTGGCGAGTTGATCCGAGGTGCCCAATTTTCCGCCTCGTAGGGTAGACATATTGGTGGAACCTTTTTTAGTTTAAACAGACCGAGGCGGCCTTCTGCCACGGGAGGGGCTGTTGAAGACTTGTGGGAGGAGCTGTTGATGACTTGTGGGAGGAGCTGTTGATGACGCCGCACGTGCGAGCCACTGGCGGTGGATAAACAGGAAACAGCTGATAGCAGGAATTAGCGAGCAGCTAGTAGCAAGAGGGAAACACAAACCTGACAGACACTGTAAAGATGAGCAACTGGGGAGACAAGGAATTGTGCGCCCTCCTTGTCCTCGCAAACAAAGAGGCCATTAACCGTCAGATGACGGGGACGGTGAAGAACGGGCCGACTTACGAGAGAATCGCCGAAGGACTGACCAGCCGTGGCTTCCCTCCCACGTCACTGTTTACGTCACACGCTGAGCTACACGTTTTGTTACTTGCTCATGCCCCCCATTGCCCCGAAAAAGGCACATTCTGTATAAACAAAAGTAGGTAGGCGGCATTTTGCTGCACTCCCCGATTTTGTTTTTATACTGCCAATGCTGAAAAAACACTGATTGGGCTTTCCTGCTAATTTGCACAATTCCTGTCTATAAAGGGCTACTGACTTACAGATGGCTACTTGACAGAGACAGCAAACTAGCTCAACAACATGATGGTGAATGTGTTAAACTGTGGGACCTTGAACTAATGACTGAGCAGAAATCTGGACCTTGTGTCTGCACCAGTTGGGAACCACTGCATTAAACAACCCAGCAGTAATAAGGGAGCTAAAACTATCTAAACATAACTGGTTCATTTTAAAAGGAGCCATTCTGCGTAATGAGTGTGTTTACGTTTGGTACATAAGAACATTTTGGTGTCAACATCTTATTACTTGTGTTTAATTCTAAATGTAGGACTTGTTATGAAGCCTAAACAAGTAACAAATCAGTCAGTACTGCTTTGAGGTGCAACTAGTCATCAGAAGAAAATGTTGTGTGTTACCACAAATACTTACATTTGCACATTTCATATGTAGCTTATCAATGTTTCTGAAGTGAGGGACTCAACCTGGTCTCACCCTGGAGTTGGCGACATCCACTTGGGCAATCACTTGCGGCATCAGACACTGACGAAAAAGCCGTCCTTTAACGTCGGCACAATACACGGCCGGTCGCCATTATAGTTAAATAGCACTTGGTGGCGTCAGGGGGAAGCGCAGCGGGACATGAACGGAAGTCAAAGAGATGAAAGTGAGTGAGGCGGGCAGGAGGGGTAGTGGGTGAGTCCAACAAACAACTTTCACCCAAACACGGACTTTCACTTTGTAGAGCCGTGTTCACGTCGCGTGAGATTATAAATCCAACGACGTGTGTTAGTTACTGAAGGCATAAAAACATCAATTCACAGTGTTGTACCTATGTAGTGCATTTATTTTGAAAGAGACGTTGTCACAATCCCTGTCTCTCAGTCCTCTCCTGCCACTCTGCTGCAGTGTTTTTCCACTCCCCCTCCCTCTGCTTCACTCTACCTGCCAGCCGCGCCCACCTCATCAGTCCAACTCTGCTCACCTGCCTACACAGCTGCAGCTCATCAACCAGCCCTGCATATAAGCCTCTCCAGCACCTTCACTCACTGCCAGATTGTTCTTTAGCATTATGCGAGACTCTCCAGCGTTCTTCTCCCGCCTGATCTCCCGCCTGATCTCCCGCCTGATCTCCCGCCTGATCTCCCGCCTGATCTCCCGCCTGATCTCCCGGTGCCAACTCTGCCTGTCCCCGACCTGCTCTCCTCGTCTGCCTCCCGGTAAACTCACCTGCCTTTTGTCCCCGACCTCGTGCTTTGCTTCAGCGTCTCTGGTTTCTGCCTGCACGTCTGGTCTCGACTCCTCCGCCCGGCCTCGTCTACCCTCCTGCCTGCTCCTCAACGGTGCTTCTGCCTTCGCTGACGGCTCTTCTAGCTACGACCCCCCCACCGGCTCCCGACCTCGCCTCAGCTTACTCCTCGTCGGCTTCTCAGCACGATCAGCCGGCGCTTCAGCCTACGGTGCGTCTGCCTCGCCACCTTTGGCTGCCGTAAGCTTGATCTCTTTCCCTCATCTGAGCCTCAGAGACTGTGTGAGGGCAACTTGCCCGAAGAATGAACTTTATTCTGTGTTTATTCTGCCTGCTGCATTCCCTGTTTGCTGTGGTGCTAATAAAAGTCATTACCAACTGTTCCTGCGAGCCTGGTACTGCATTTGGGTCCACAAACACACCCGTTTCAGACGTTAAATTTCCTGTGAAAACAGAAGTGTATTTTGAAAGAACACAATGCATGTAACAGACAACTTGACCTTGCACGTTGTATCTGGAGCTGGAAAGTCCATGACCAAACGTCAGTATCTGATGAGGTCGGAGTGAGAATGTGTTTGGAGCTGACTTTGTCATTTGGAGGTGGAGGGGACGGTTGATGGTGTGTTTCCAGCAGCTTTTAAGCCCCCAGTTGTGGGTGTTGTTAAGGACCTGGCTCTGTGTTTTGACTGACTTTTTGGCCACGAAAAGAAGTTGTGTTTTACTGAGACATCGCTGCTTTTCATGCCAGAACTGTGCCCCCCACATTGTGTATTGAAGCTTAGAACATAATGTTATCCCTACATAACCAAGTGGTTTTTATGCCTAAACCTAACCACACATAAACCACAGTGTTGTTGAAATGTAAAGGTTCAACTTATCCACTAAATAATAATGTACAAATATAACATCTGTGGTTTGCAGAAATATACAATGCCATGCCAACACTTATCCTGTTGATTAGGCTGGAGAACTAATGAGTTTTCAACATCATGAAATGTTGAAAAATGTCCATCAAAACTTCCTACAGCCCAAAGTGACGTCTTCAATTTATTTTGTAATTTATAATAAAACAGAATAAATCATTCTTCTTCTTGACTGATCAGTTAATTAACTAACTGACCAGCATGACAGCATTTAGACGAACGTGTAACGTCACCACAGCTGTGTTTCTAACGTCTTTGTCACGTTAAGTTATTTTGTGTTGATGTTCCTAAGCTGTAACTTAATTTTGCCTCTCACTGATCAATGCGTTTGCGTCAAAGTCTAAATTATTTATCGGCCCAATTGATTTGCTGGTCTGTCCATCGACAGGCCGGGCGCTCTGCGGATAATGGCTGTGTAACTGATGTTGTGGTGGTCGGACTGATTGGATGATTGATGGATTGTTTGGTGAAGGAAAACGAGTTAAGCTCAGGCAAAGGGCAGTTTGAGCGGCGTGAAGAAGGGATGACATTTCTCTGAGTGCAATTTATTGAATGAAAGCCTGCTTGCTTACTGTGCAGCTTTCTCATAACCCTGTAATATGTGATGAAGTCGCCAACAGCTGAGCGTAGCTGCTGTTTGTCATGTTTGTCTGAAAATGTGATTTCCTTGTTTTCCTCTGCAGGCTCTCTACAACTCCATCAAGAATCAGAAGCTGCAGTGGACGCTGTAAGTCATTCATGTTGATTCCTTTTCATCCTCTGTGACTCTGTTTCTGTCCTCTGCCTTGACATTGATTCTGTGCAACACATTTAAACACACACACACACGTTGTCCTGAAGGGCAGGAAACAATAAGGGGTATTGATTAACTTGTTAGCATCCTCATTAATGACGTGAGCGTTGTCTGGCATGTGAAGGAAACATTAGTGTGTCAAGAGTTGCTATTCTGGATCACAGTTTCAGAGCGCCTCAGAGATGCCAATTAAGTCTCTAGCTTTCCAAGCTTTGTTGCCATAGCTACGGCACCATGGATACGACTCCATAGCTACAGCATTGCTCTTTCCTCCGTGTTCTCTCAGCAGCAAACACACACACGGTAACAGATAGATGTACAGTATGTTCAAACGTACACAGGAGATATATTTGTGTGTGTGTGTGTGTGTGTGTGTGTGTGTGTGTGTACATGTCGGCCTCTGCGCTGTACATGTGAGAATGAGAAAAGAACAGAGAGAGAGACAATGACTCAGAGGGAGGGAGGCTCAATTTAAATGGCTCTTTACCTGCATCCTGTACAAAGGTGTGACCACAGCCTCCCACTACCTCTCCGAAAATAGCTGCAGCAGTGCTCCCGAAGCAGCTGAATAAAAGTGGTCAGAGAGGAGCAGATCGAGGAGGAGATCCACAGAGAGGCAGGCAATCCAGTTCAAACATCTCCGCTGACATATAGACAGCTATTTAAACACTGCCGCCGCATAAGAGGCCACGCGGGGATAGAAAAAGATGTCATTTTTAGACACGTAAACACTCATGGAAGCAAAGAGAGAATCCACCTCCAAACAAAATGAATTACAGATTAAGAGATTCAGCCCACAGCAGTCTGGCCTTCTTCTCTTTTTTTTCAGTTTTTGGCAGCAGAGAGTTGCACATGTTCGTTTTTAATATTTCAACTGGCCGAGATCATTGAAATAGAGTAAGATCCTGTCTCTGCTTTGAAACCCCTATTTGAAGAGCACAGCACAGTGTCACTTTTTGCCAGCACTTTCACACCCTGCTCGCTCAGTTGATGCATATTTCATCACGCAGAGGACATTTTTTCACTTGACTCAGATCACAACACAAGGACTGACACCCTGTGACGGATACACTTCAGCTCTGCATCGACTCGGAGGCTGCGAACGCTGCTTTTGTTTTTCTTGTTGGGGAATGTTTGCCGTCAGTTTGTGTGTTTGTAATTACAGATTTTAATCACAGAACAATAAAGAGTGTGTTTTATTCTTTTATTTCACAGTCAGGAACAGAAGCAGGTTTATTGCCAAGTAGGTTACATACAAGGAACTTGCACTGGTATTCTGGTGCAGAACAAAAAGCAGGTAGGGATGCCCCAATTTATCAGCTATCAGCTACTGTTGCTCTGTTGTGTCACATCAATATTACACAGGCTAAAAAGCAGAGCTCGTGACCAACAGCATTGTCCTGTGAATAATAGAGGACGTGTTTGGGACAAACAGAGATCTTCCCCATGACGCCTTCAGGACAAAACTAACTATTGATGATCAGAAGATGCTCCTTACTGTTTCCCTGATGAAACTATGTTGTCAACAACAAATACGTGTTGATATTGCAAGGAGGAGAGCTAGTAAACATTAGCTGTTAGCAGTTAGCAGTTAGCAGCTGGTGGCCAAAATTAAGTGAGGACAGTGGTTACATTTGCTATGTCTCAAGTCAGGGGCTGCAGCCTCTGAAGGACGCGGCCGACGCAGACAGATAAGGCTGCGTCCTTTAAGGAACTGCAACGGCTGAATTGAAATGGGAAGGTCAGGTTTATGGAGCATTTCCTGTTTGCATCACCAGCTGTTCCCGTCCCTACCCACTGATGCTCCTGTCACTGAGCAACCAGCTGCACCTGATGAGACAAGTTAGTCGGGTACAGGCTGGTTAAATAATGGACCCAGACATTGTTACTGCTTTTATACCTCAGTCGGCATCACTACTGTCACGTAGTCGTTTTGATAAGAAGGCTTCTTGTTTTTTTAACCTTTATATCATTAACTATCTGCGTGAGTTCAAACGCAATACTGCTGGTGGTGTGTTCAGGGACGCCATAGTCTTAGAAAAAACCCCAATTATGGCTGGTGTGCAGTGAGTCTCTGGATAGGTTAGGCCATGAAGGATGTATCTGGACCATCCTCCACATATGTTACATGTTGATGCGTTCAAGCTCTATTCAGTAAAAATGAGTATCGGGCAAAGATCAATTGTGACGTCGTCATGTGTTCAAATGTAGCCTTGTAAAAATGTACTTTTTCCTGACTATTAATACGGCTATTTTAAGGAGAAATGTGTTGATGTTTTCACATCAATATACAAAAGATATTAGAGAGATAATTCTGATATATTATGTACAGAAAAAAAAAGACTTTAAGGCCTTTTTAAAGGTGTTTTAAATTTTATTCAAAATGATATGGTTGCATCTGTGCTCATTCAAAGATAGTGTAATGAAGGGCTGAATGACTTTAAAACAGCTCAGTTATTTTATGATGCAGATTTCTTTGTTTCCCTGGCACAAAAGGGGAAATAAATAACATTGTAAACAAAGTAAACAACAACAAAACATTGGTATCAGCTGTCGGCCAAATTGTTGTTTTAAACATTAACACTGGCCCAGAACTTCACAAGTGCTGCACCCATAAAAACAGGCACTGCAAAATATTATTTACAATATAATACAATATAATATTTACATGATACAGAAAATCTTTATAAAAAGTTCCTAAAAATATCTGAAATATTATCTGTAATATTCACAGGACACAATCTGCCCAAAATGCATCCAGTCTGCTTGTTTTACACAAACGTCCTGCAGTTATTGTGTTCACTATTTAGGTGTCTTGCACAGTCTGTAATGTTATTGTTATGCTTTGAATTAAATATCAAATATCCATAAAATATGCCACTTAGTGAAGAGACATCAGTTTGCTCAATGAAAGAAAAGAGGTCCCTTAATAAGAAAAAAAGGTTGGGGAGCAATGAAATAGATTACATTACAATATTTAATTATACTTAAATGGATTTCAAGGGTTTTATTGTCGTATGGTGCAGCATGTGACTGCACAATGACCTGCAGTTGCACTTCTCTTCATGCTACACCGTCAGAGAATGAATGAACAAATATTTGATATTTATTTTGAATATGTAAAAAAGACATGAACATACAAACAAGCAGAACAGACAGAAAGAAAGTAATTTTATTATTTAAATATATTTAATTTAATATTTAAATTAGAACAGAGTATTAACAATAAAGCAGTAGGCATTAAGACGGAACAAACTGTATAAAAGTGGCATTTAAGGAAGAAACAAAAAGGAAAACTAAATTGTTTTTTCAATAAATACAGTTACGCATTATAGTGGAAATAGTAAGACTCTCTCTTCTATATATAGAGCAGCTCAGCACTGATTTACTAATTTACACCCAGATTGAGGCTTAAAAAGAAAACACACTCTCCAGTACAGTCAAAGGCCTGAGAGAGAGGTGTGATATTCACACACTGAAACAAACCGTGTGCTGTCATTACATGAATACAGATTTTATATGTGAAATCTGGTGTGTGCATCTCATTACAGGTGTGTGTGTGTGTGTGTGTGTGTGTGTGTGTGTGTGTGTGTGTGTGTGAGTGTGTGTTTGTGTGGGCACGCAGTATTTTAGCACAAAGCAAAAAACACAGGGATGGATGTTATTTCACACCCCCACAGAGAAAAGACACGGCCACTCTCTCAACGGTGCAGTTGGATGCACCCACATGTTCTTCACACACACACACACACACACACACACAGGCATACAAACACAGATATATACAGTACACACATGCTTCCTCATTCAGGAGCGGGGGTGGAGAGCAAAGAGAGGTGGTGGTGGTGGGCATTGTGTGCTGAAAGAGACGCAACAAGTCGCAGCTTGAGGAGGATCTGTGGACAGAGACGAGCAGAACAGGCTGTAAATGGCAGAATCTCAGCACATCATACGACGAGTGCAACGTGGAGAACGAAGTGCATGAAATGAGCGATGTGCAGAGGGACAGACGAGACCCCATCTGCTCTATTATTCCTTTCATTCTGCTCATCCCTCCTCTCCTCCTCTCTCCTCTCCTCCTCTCCTCCTCCCTCCATGGCTCCAGTCATCCTGTCTTGTTATTGTCCGCTGCTCTCACCTGCAGCCTGTGTGCCAGCTACTCGCATCAGATCACGTTTAACATCAGGACACCAGTATTTCATTTGGTATTATAGTGCTAGAGGGGGCTGAACCTGGTCTGAGTCGAGTGCAGGATTGTGACATTCAAATGTCTGTAAGGGCCCTGACACACCGAGCCGATGATCAGCTGTTGGTCGTCACTGAGCATCTGATGCGCTACTTTTTACAGTGTGTCCCTCACTGTTAGCGCCACTCAGCCCTTGTTGGCTTATTTTTGGCCAGTGGGGCATGTTGAATCGGCGTCAGAGATGGTGGCGCCCATCGGCGAGTGAAATCACTCTGATTGACCGTTTAGCTCAGCGCACAAGAAGAGAAACTAAATTGAGGAAAGTAAACAAACAACTAAAGTCAAGAGAAAGTGAGATAAAAACAAACTTGTTATATCAGGTATGATGATGGTATTGGCCAGCGTATATGACACAGCGAATGTGTCAGCGCTTCAGTAGAAATGCTTCCTAATTGCTTGCTGTTGTTTGCTAGCACACGGTGAATATCATAAGTTCTTTGAACATCAGGTTGTGTCGTTAGTGTGCTAACAGGCTAACTGGCTAACTAGCATCTTGAATCTGTTCTGTTGATCTCCTGGTTTCCCTTTTTGAATGATGATTACGACGACTGCTTCCTGCTGGTATGGAGAGTTATGCTGTGTCTCAAATCGCGTACTTCTGTACTTACACTTAATATTTTGAGTGCATAAGTGCGTTCACACTGAGAAGTATGGAAAAATGCAGTGCACTATGAGTACCTGGATGGTG